AGGTAGGCCTAAATAAAATGTTTTTAATTGTGTACCAATTTAACGTTGAATATTATTTATGATTTTACCTTCTTTGCCTTTAGCCAAAATCATATTCTGCTGAATATTATTATTAATAAAGCTTAGTTTTTATGTTTTCAGGGAAAATATCTGGCGCCATCTATTACAAAAAATGGTGGAAAAAAGAATGTTAAAATCTTTTTAGTTTTTCTATATATTTCAAAAGAAAAAAAAGCAGAAGCGAAATAGTTTCTGGTGCTATATATACATATATATATATGATACTTGCATCTTATTTTAACTTAAAAATAATAATCATAGTCTTACATATAGCTTTAAGTTTAACTTAAATGATAGATTTCACTTTCAGCAACACCAAAATATACTGCACTTGTGAATGAATGTGTTCCTAAAGTGTTACAAGGGAAACATAATACAAATGAAGTTATGATTGGTGGAATTGTATAGTGAGTAGTATGATTAATTGTACCTCAACATTTTGTTTTATGTCAATTTAGGCAACATATTGTTTATTACACAAAAACAGATTCATACACACTAAGACTATCATTGTTTGTCTCTGGTAGTTTGTTTGGTGTAGCAAATGATATAGACTATGTTTGCATACAGCCATAGAATGTGTGAAATTGATTCATGAATGTTCAATCTTTGATGTATTCATTTCATCACTATTTTTTTTTCAATAGCCATTATTGAAAAAATAGTGATGATTGCAAATGACAAGATTTTAATCTTAACCAAGTTGCTTTCATTGCAGTTAGTTCTTGACAAAAGAAAAAAAAAAAGATCCCAAGTATAAACAATTTAGTTTGATCATAATTATGTAATAAATAAAATTCTTACAAAAAATACTGCTCTGTCCAGTGTCAGGAAAATTTAAATAAGAATATTTTTATATGTGTTGAGTTCTTTCCTCAAGCCCAACTTATGAACCCTTTTTTTAGACCTTCTGTTTTAGTGATTATAAATTTTGTAGGTTTACACCTTGGCTTCATATGTCCAATGAATGTTAGAGGATTGTGTTTCATTTTTCTTTATTTTTCTCATAACTATTTTTGTATGTACATTTGCATGTTTTCTGATGGAAGTCATGTGTCACCCGTGGTACACAGCACCCATAACATATAACTGCACCTCATATCTCCAAAGCCCTATATGAAAGTATTTATCTTGCATGGATGGCTATAATAAAGCCACTCCTTCCATCATGTACCATTGGTGGAGCATGTATGCCATGTTGAAAGAACAACTGAAATAAAACAAATTTACATAATTAAAGCACTTTTTATTTTAAAATTACATCTAGAGGCTGGCATTAAATTTTTCATTGTGAGTAAATAAAGCCAAAAAAACTAATTAACTGAGACTTCTTTCATAAATATGTAACTGTTATGAAAACTGTAATATAATAAAGATAGAAATGAAATGGAAATAAAATTTTCATAGTAACTAAGTGGAGCAAAAAACTTAATTAGACATTGATTTTTTTTAGAAAGTCTTTAATTAAAATTGAAAAGAAAAGAAAGACAATAATATTTTAATTCATTCTAATTTTCATTTATATTTGTCACTGAAACACTCCAAGCACATTGTAGGCTTCCCATAACAATCCTTGAACTATTATCATCCACAGTAGGGATTATTTTATCTGATTTTTTATGATTGTAAAGTTGTGAAATATACATAATTTTATTAAAAATGACAAAATTACTTTGAGAAAAAGAAAAAAATATTAAATATCATGATCATTGGATTATTAGTATTTAAATCATAGTGTGCACCATCGATGGTGCACTCAAGAAAAAACTGTCAATGGAATCATTCTGTCATAAAACATAACATGAAGCCACGAAATTAGCATTATCTAAAACAGAGTTTACAATGAGGCTTTACGTTTCTATTGCATAACTAGGGATATCACTTATGCCGCGAAAGTGTTAAAAGTTTCAGAATGAAATTTCAATAAGTTTCAGATTTTTTTTTGTAGTTTTTCATGTTAATTAGTTAAAAAGGAGGGTTGAAATTCTGCTACTTATACGCAGAGATGTCAAAATAGAATTAGCTACTAGAAATTGGGTGTCAAGTAGGTGGCCACATTCTTCTCACATAAATCAAATGTTTAAAAATAATGACAGAATAATTAATAGACTATAGTACTTGTATATTACATGTACTGTACGTTCAATTAAATGCTAGGATTAGTACACCATCAAGCTATCACAGTGTCTGTTATATATATAAAGCATTGGACATAACATCAACTGTCAAGACTGACAGGTTTGTGTTAGCTTTAATGAAAGTGCAGTGTGTACAAGATACTGTGTCTTTAAAGCCATTATGGACTAATTTTTCTTTAACCTGTAATTAAGATATAATCAAAAATGGCATTATGATAAGATTTTAATTATGTTGTGATCATTGAAAAAAACTTGTAGTAGTTTTTTTTACCAGTTTTCACTTCATAAAGATAAGAATTACTGGTTTAAGTTTTGGGAGGTGTCATAAATTTAATTTACTCCAAGAAATGATCTACAGGTGCAAGAGAAATGAATGGTTAAGAAGTTGAAAAAGTTTTCCATTAAAGTTTCTTTCCTCTACACACCCATTAAAGGCTAATTGATGCTGCTTGTGTTTGTGCATAGTAATAAAATATACTTTGCAACAGCAAAACAATATTAATGGTTTCACCAAAGAAAATAATATTAATTTAAGTTTTACAGGTAAGTTTACTGTGTTTGGCTTTGGAATTCTGTAGACACTTTAATGAAGCAATATTTGATCGTAACATACTTTTTAAGGAAAATTTTATTTTTTAAACCATATTTTAACATTTGCTTGCAAATTATCATTTTAATAACACAGCTTTGAATATCTTAGGTTTTAAATCTACGTGTATGTGGTTAAAACCTGATAATAAAACACATCTGAAAAGCCCCACCTAGAATCCCTGTAAGTTTTAATCAGTTTATTGACTTTCACATATTTATCAAAGTAGTCAGCTCAAACAAGAATTGCCCTCCAGTGGCACAGCAGTATGTCTGCGGACTCACACCACTAGATAGCCCATTGTGTAGCTTTGTGCTTAATTCCAAACAATCAATCAAACAAGAATGTAGTACTCTAATAAAACAGTGTTAAACTGTATATAACAGGCCTGAAGCTAATTAAATTCTTTATGTACTTATTCTTGAAAATAAAGAGAAACAAAGTAATTCCAGATGTTAAGAGTCATCTCAGTATCCACAGAGTTCTCGAAGTTGATTGTGTTAATTCTGAAAGCCCTCATCAGGGCCAGAGCTTTTAAATATTATATAACAAATTAATTTTTCTCCTGTGATTCTAATTTTAAGTTATTCATGTAATCAAATCGGGGAGGAAGACAAAAGTTTTTTGAAAATGTTGACTTATCTCTGCCTTACACATAATGGTTGTAATTGTCAAAATCAGTTATGTTCTTGTACAATCTACCTTTTACTCGTACAGTATTTCATTACAAAATTTCAGAGGACATATTTAAGACCTAGAGTATATTATAGAAAGGATTATCATAATGAAAAAAAAATAATATATACACACACACACACACACACACACACACACACACACACACAAAACGAAACCCAAAAAAGAACATACTTTCTCCAGACAACTGGTATGTAATTTGTCTTGAAGATAAAAAGAGAATGTTAAAAAGTTTTGATGTAGGTGGTTTCAGGTGGTAAAGTAAGGAGTACTTAATATACTACAATTTCTTTTTCATCAAGAAATACTTCTGGATGGTACATTACTGTTTTTTTTTCTCTGTGCATTGTGTAAAATGAAATGCCATTGCTTTTGCTTTGATGTCATATTCATTTTACTGGTAACCTTGATTCTCTGAATAATTCTATTGTCTTGAAACTGTTATTTTTTCATTGTACTCTACAAGCACTGTTAACTGGAAACTTTTTTTTTTAAGGTTAAGCCTAAATTCAGGTCAACTAACAAAATGATTGAGTGAACATGAACAGGCTTGAGCAGCCACCAGATTCAGTGACTGTTTTTTTTTTCTCCAGAAATTATCTTGTATAACACAAATAAATACTACATGATATATTTGGCTTCAGGCAGTGGAAGTTTTATTGAGACAGGAAATCTGTTGACATTTCAACTTCAACTTTAACTACATTATGTAATATTCTTCGCTAGTCATGAGTGTAAAAAAAAGAAGAAGAGAAAAAAAAAAAGTCGGAGCCCTTCCCACTTGACATCATACAGAAGCTAATACAGGAAACCAAGCATTGTTTCAGGAGCCCTAGAATCTGCCAAACAACATTAATATCTGTGGCTGTACTTCTGTTGTTGCTTTTTAATGTATAAGTGGTATATGCTAGTTACTTGATTAACAAGGAGACTTAAGATAAACAACACTGTTTATTATAACAGAAAGGGACACAGATAAGTGCTTTGGAATTATAACAGAAGGGGACATAGATAAACAACATAGTTTATTATAACAGAAGGGGACATAGATAAACAACATAGTTTATTATAACAGAAGGGGACATAGATAAACAACATTGTTTATTATAACAGAAGGGGACACAGATAAACAACATTGTTTATTGTAACAGCAGGGGACACGGATAAATGCTTTGGAATTATACAGATTCCATCTTCACTATGCAAAGCAAAGTAAAAGAATTACATCTTTTCGAAGTAAGTATGTACAGTGTTTTTGTTTGTTACTACTTCATTTTCCATATTTTAATTCTGACTAAATTATCATTATTGCAGTAAATTATTTTAGTTATTTACCTGTAATTATATACAAGCCAAGAACTGAGAAATTGGAAGAAGGTTTTTAGTATGGAAAAAAATCCCATATCTGTGTCCACTTCTGTTATAATAAACAATGTTACTTACCTTAAATAGTTATCCTTTTTATTGTGAAACTTCATTTTCCTCCATACACAAGGATATTTTTTACTGAAATTAGTCAGATTTCCAAATTAACTAATCTTTTAATTTGAAAGTACAAACATGTACATGCTTCTTATTTTGTTATTAAATCTTTACATACATTATCATATCAAAAGTCATGGGACACACCTCTAATTGCAGGAAAATGGGTGTAATGACGAAATATGCAAATAGTTGGGCCTATAAAGGTAATAGTGGTATGCTCAGAAGTAATTTCGTACTTGTACGTTGAACGATGAGTACACGGAAAGAGCTAACAGAGTTTCAAGGAAGGATAGTTGGATGTCTTTTGGGGAAAATGTCTGTATGTGTTATTGTGCAACAATTAAACATTTCCAAGTTGACAATTGGCAACATGCTAAAGAGTGGAAGTTCACAGGTGACAATGATTCAAAGAAATGACCAGATAGGTGTAAAATACTGACTGACAGGAGCCAACGTGCTTTGAGAAGGCTGGTTACCTCATTTCGCCTTCAGACTTTAGAGAATCTGTGTTTCGAGATGCAAACAGCCACAGGCAATCCTATAAGTGTTTCTACGACACGTCAAGAGCTGCATGCCATGAATTTTCATGGAAGAGCTGCAGCGCACAAGCCGTTGATAAGAAAAACAAATGCACACTGTCGATTGGCATGGGGCAAGGCACACCGAAGCTGGTCCATGGATCATTGGAAATCAGTCCTGTGGAGCGACGAGTCAGGCTACATGCTTTTCCATTCTGATGGATTTGTTTGGGTATGGAGGCTGCTTATTACCCGAGTGTGTTGTCCCAACATTGAAGGTTGGAGGTGGCAGTATCATTGTCTGAAGGTCCTTCTTGTGGTATGGACTAAGTCCTCTGATTGCAGTGCATGGATCCACGAATGCTGAGTCCTACATTGATGTTCTGAACAACTCTATCAGTCCTAATTGTAGCAATTTTATGGTACTGGCCCTTACACCTTCCAACATGATGACGCTCCATGTCACAAAGTAAGGACTGTGAATGTGTGGTTTGAAGAGAATAATATCGGAATATTGCAGTAGCCAGCAGAGAGCCTCAACTTCAACCTTTTATGGTATTTAATTAGTGTGGCAGATTATGAATTAAAAAATGAACAATAAATTTGTGAACTACTCTGCCCATGGGCTTTATTTAATAGGTTCTAAACAATTCCACTTTGCTTTGTGCTTTAATGATCTGTAATATTTTGTGTGTCAAGTATTATTTGCAATATATTCTGTTTCACTGTGTTTATGATATGTTTTTGCAGGCTCTTGGCCTTAACATCTCTGATGAACAGATCAAAGAAATGAAAGCTAACATTGACAATATTGACTTTGATATGGCAGCAAAAGAGGAAAAGGCAACACGTCATGATGTCATGGCTCATGTTCACACGTTTGCTGCTTGTTGTCCCAAGGCTGCTCCAATTATTCATTTGGGAGCAACATCTTGTTATGTTGGTGATAATACTGTAAGTTAATAATATACTTTTAATTTGAAAAGCAAGTAATTATGTTATGAAAAAGTATAAACCCTGCAGAATTTTAAGGTGTAAATAATTTACTGGATGAATGGCTCATTAGATAGCATCAATTTGAACAGATTGATGCATGAAAAGTAAAAATTTCTATCCATTACTGTTCTAGAAATTTAAGTTCAGTTTTAAAGCTAACTTTGTTTGTTCTGTATGCTACAGATCGATAATCTTTAGACATAATTGGAACTTTTAGCTGTCAGAAAAAGGCCAGTTTTGAACCATGTGAGTCATATATGTGACTCTGCATCATTGTCACAGTGTACAGTGTATTACTTTTCTTTTGATATAAATTATTTTACAGTGTATTTATCTATTTTTTGTTAACCAAAAATGTTAAACCTGCTTGATTTTTATTGTTCACCAAGAATAACTTTCTGAATTTCACACTTATTTGGATTTCCAACCCATATAGATAAAACTTGGTAAAATATGAATTAAATATACAGATACATTGATTAAACACTATACAAAAGAACTAGCTTGAGAAAGCCTTTTTGTATTTGTTTTTGTAAAACCTTCCTACAGCAAATAACTGTGAATCAGAAGGTTTTGTTTATCTTTTATTTGATAATTAAGTGTATGGACAGCAAATTTCCATCTGAGCAAAAACCTTGAAAGCATCTACATGTAGATTACATGAAACAGAAATAGTTTTAATAAAAAAAGGAGGAAATTTGTGTAGCCTCAGCTAGTCACAAGCAAAGAAATTTGATAAATCTGTTAGAACATCATAAATATTATAATTTCAAATACTAAGAGATATAATATTTGTTAATTTTAAATAGAATTAAGATTGTAATTTGTAGCCTAGAGAATGTAATACATTACAATTCCTTTACTCAAAGTACATGTGCTTCATCCAGTTGATTCAGATAGTGACAAGCTTGCCTGATAAAACATAATGAGCCTTTATTTGCTGTTTTTTTTCATTTTCCTTGGAAGATATGCAGGTTGAGGGTCTTTTGCCCCCACGTGTGGACTTGTTTCCTGTCACACCAGAATGTATCACGTATCCATAAAAAATTTAAACACACAAAATTACATCTAGAAAAGAAAGGCACAGAAACACATAAATTACAATAGACTTCCTTTGTTTCTTTTTTTTATGCCTACCTTGTAGTATTAGGAAATTACTAGAAATATCAATGACACCTGAAAAGCCCAATACATTATAGATCATAACATTCTAACAGATTTGAAGATTCCTGTTCTGTCAGCATAGCAAGTAAAAGTGATGAAATAATGAATCTGTGAGAGTTGGTTTTTCTCTTTCATTTTTGAATTTATTTTTACTTGAATTTGTTAATAATTTATACCTTTTTTTTATTATGTTCAAACTAAATATTTGATAATTAACTCACTTTTATCAGTTAAATTGAATAAGTAATATGATTTTATTCAATTAAAAATTTTTTTTTTTTTGCATCAAAATGATTTCTCTGTAGTTTAAATGGGTATGATTCAGTGTTTGAATAATTTGGCTTTGTTATGATCTTGTGTTGAAAGTTAATTGACTTATTTTCTCCAGTACTGAGAATGATCCATGATCCATTAAAAAAATAAAACTACTTTGAATGTGCTTGATTGTTTGTTTTTAACTTCAGTTCTTTAAACTTTTTACAGCTATTACTGTTTTTATAAATCTTAAAACTTGTACATAATTGATTCCTAACACCATGTTCACTTTTTTTAACTACCATGTTTATAAACAACTTTCCCTGTGCCATGTTTATTTTTATAACAAAAAACATACATTTTAATTTTTCATTACTTATATGAAACTTAGAACTTGTAAACTTTTGGAATTTTGAATGGCAATATCCTTTCTTCATGGTTGTACAAAATTCTAAACTCCCATGGTAGTGATCTAGAAGGGACGTGTGTATGCCCATGATAATGAAACAGTTAAAGAAATGGTACAATTTACTGACTTAAAACCGGAATCTTTAACTATTTGCAGTAAATAAAATTTTGAATTTTTTCACAGGATCTTATAATGTTACGAGATGGTTTTAACATCCTTCTGTCAAAGGTAGGAATTCATTGTTTCTTTCATTTCATATCTTCGTAAGACTTAATTTTGTTTATGATTTATAAACTTTTTTAATCAATATGATCACTATAACTACAGTAATTGATCACTGAATATATTTGGTTTAAAGACAAGCACTTAAATTAAATTATTTTATTATTTCTATATTCTTTAAGCCCAGATACAAATCTAAAATTAGTAAGACTTTTTCTATTTGTATAATTTTAGTATTAACATCTAGAGAAACTATGATCTTTAGTTTCTTTTGGTTGTAATTAGTGGAAAAATTTCAGGAAATCAACTGTAATAGTAACTAAGCAGTTGGATTATTTGACAATATTAGAGCTGTAGCAACATTCTAACTGTGAAATATTAATTGAATAAATAAAATATTTGCATCTATATTTTAATTTGGAATGTTAAAAGATTGTGTGATTTTACCACTGTAATTAGCAGTTATCATATGACAATTACTAGGTTACAAATAGTACTAATTTAACTCTCTGGCTGCTGACTCAGTGGATTACATTTGACCCCAAAATGACCATCAGAGTTTCAATACTACAACTTTTAATATGTTTTCTGTATCTTCAGCTGTAGCAACATTCTAACTGTGAAATATTAATTGAATAAATAAAATATTTGCATCTATATTTTGATTTGGAATGTTAAAAGATTGTGTGATTTTACCACTGTAATTAGCAGTTATCATATGACAATTACTAGGTTACAAATAGTACTAATTTAACTCTCTGGCTGCTGACTCAGTGGATTACATTTGACCCCAAAATGACCATCAGAGTTTCAATACGTTCATCAGAGTTTTAATATGTTTTCTGTATCTTCATGAAATTTTTGAAGCTTTTTTTAAACATTAGTAAATTTAAAAAAAAATCAGAATTTTTATTGAAGTATTTTCACTAAAAATTTGTTCGTGAATATGTGGAGTCAGAGTATTGACTGCTTCAGGTGCAAAGGGATTTTCATTTGAAGGTTGAAAATGCTTTCTTCATCTGAAATTCATTTCTGTAATCTCTAAAACCTCCTAAATAAGTATCTGTTGTTTTTTTTTTCACTAGATCTTTATAGTTTCTTTGTTCTTTTCTCTACCCTATCTCTATACCCATTTGGTCAATTTCACC